TAAATGGATATGGAAATTGGGTTATGGTGTTCGGTTGTGGGTGATGCCATGGCCGTCTTCCATGGCCGTTTTCCTTTGGCTCAAGGTTTAATCTTCATTCTGGAGGGTTTCGATGAGGCAACTGTTGGTGGATGTTTTTTGTTTGTTTTGTCCAGGTTTGACGTCGGCGGGGGGTAGTCACTAGTGCTGGTTGATCTCTGGCCGGAGTTGCTTCTTCTCCGGCGAGATATTGACTTTGTTCAGGCACGGGTGTTGCTCTCACCTGGTGCTGGTTTTGGTATAGGTCCTCTAGGGATTTAAAGTTTTCAATTCATGGGGTGTTGCTTGCTGGTGGTACGCTTGTAACGGAGCTGGTGTTGTTCGCTATATGTTTCTGGTGAGGAGTAGCAGGTGGTTCGCTACTCCGGCACTGGTGGGTTTGTCCATAACTGGCCTGGGTGTTTACCACCGTAATGGTTGTTTCTCCGTCGGGCGTTTGTGGTGTTTGGTCGGAGAGAGAGAGAGAGAGAGAGGGTCAATTCTTTCATTATCCCCCTTTCTACACAAAATGCACCATTGAGGTAGCAAAAGTAATCAGCTCTCCTTTGAAACTAATCGTTAGAAACACTTTACTTAAAAAGACACACAAGCATTACAAATCATTTTAAAAAAAATAAAAAATGGGAACATCAGAATTATCAATCAACTCATGAAAAAAAAAAAAAAAAACTAGCAAGAGAACAAACCCAAGGAATGAATAGACAATACCCTTTATCCATAGAATCCCACCTCATTATGCATGACAGGTATCACTTGGATTTTCGAAAAAACTGAAATTTTAAGAAATGGGAGCCTTAGGGAAACAAGCAATAGAAGGAACAGACACATTATGAGAGTGAGATAAACAATACAAATGTGGAAACAAATGACCAAAAGAGCTATCCCCAATCCAAGCATCCTCACAAAAACAAATATAGTCCCCGTAGTCTTTTTTTTCTAGGTGTTTTTGATGAATGTATTAGATGATATCTTATGTGTCTTATGACTAGTGTATTTTTTATGGTTTTTCATGTTGAAATAATGCTAGTTTTTCATTATTTTTTATTGTTTGTGGATAAAAATTAGCAAATAAAAATAAATTTAAAAAAAAAAAAAAAAAACTGGGTAGTATCCATGTTATGTCTATATCGTTATTTTTTTTTAAATCGTTATCTTGTGTCCATGCCTATATCTTTGTGCTTCACAATACACATCTCTTTACACAAATGGCACTAGCGTATAATTAACTAAAAATTTAATGTGAACCAATGCTTATCAAATTAATGTTAAAATTTATAAAGCACAAGTGTATACAATTTTAAATGTGCATAAAATTGCAACCAATTATGGTCAACAAAAAATTGAAAAGAAAAACAATAATAAAAATATTAACAGTAAAAAAGTGACAAACGGCTAAAATTGCATGTTCATGTTGATTTATATAAGAAAAGTTGCATTTCTTTTATAGTAATTTCTTCCACATATGCGAGGTCATTTGGGAACACTAAAAAATAAAAAGCCAGCTTTTGACTAAAAAATCCAAAAAGCCCCCATGTTGTTTGTCACTAGCTAAAAAGGTCAAATGTCACATCAATTTTTTCACTCCCAAAAACCTGCTTGTTTAGCAACTGCCCAAACACATTAGCTTTTTTAGCTCCTAAAAGAAGCAAAAAGGCCACAAATTTTGACGGTAAGTGAGTGTGTTTCAGGTCTGTTAAGCTCCGTTTTAGGGGTGGTATTGATCTTTGTTGTGTATTTTCAAGTTTTGTTTGGAAGTTCTCTGGTGCTTCTGTGATGTATTCAAGTCCCATGACTTCGCCTCTAGTACATTGAGTTGCTGTCCGCCATGGCTGGTGAATGGGATATCATCCCAGTTGTCTCGCCGACGAGTAGTCATCTGTCAGCTCCCGATGGTCAAACCATCCGTGGGTCAATGCCTGTGTCGGGGTTCTGGTCATTGTTGGTGGGTTCGTTGGTATGACGGTGGTCTCTACGCTCATGTAAATCTGGTAGCTAAAGGAGGGTTCTGGCTATGCCACTGGTGAGTTTTATAGCTTGGTGTGGTGACTGTTATTGGTCGTCTCCGACTTGCAATGGTCATTTTCTTTGCTCTTAGCCTCTCTCTCTAGTCTAGAGCGAGAATGTTGATGTAAATGGATATGGAAATTGGGTTATGGTGTTCGGTTGTGGGTGATGCCATGGTCATCTTCCATGGGCATTTTCCTTTGGCTCAAGGTTTAATCTTCATTCTGGAGGGTTTCAATGAGGCAACTGTTGGTGGATGTTTTTTGTTTGTTTTGTCCAGGTTTGACGTCGGCGGGGGGTAGTCACTAGTGCTGGTTGATCTCTGGCCAGAGTTGCTTCTTCTCCGGCGAGATATTGACTTTGTTCAGGCACGGGTGTTGCTCTCACCTGGTGCTGGTTTTGGTATAGGTCCTCTAGGGATTTAAAGTTTTCAATTCATGGGGTGTTGCTTGCTGGTGGTACGCTTGTAACGGAGCTGGTGTTGTTCGCTATATGTTTCTGGTGAGGAGTAGCAGGTGGTTCGCTACTCCGGCACTGGTGGGTTTGTCCATAACTGGCCTGGGTGTTTACCACCGTAATGGTTGTTTCTCCGTCGGGCGTTTGTGGTGTTTGGTCGGTAAATGTGAGATGGAGAGTGGCTGTACGCGTGGTCCATCGTGTGTTTCAAGGTGCAATTTCCCGTCCCAATGATGTTGTTCTGATCAAGGATAGCACGTTGGTATGAGGGAGATAGATATAGGTGGTAGGTCGGCTCCTTATTTTAGGTGGTTGGCCAGCTTGGTGTATATGTATAGTTTTGTGTTGAAGGTTGCAACGCCACGTCGGTTTTATTTGGCCACTGACGTATTCAAAACCAACTCATGGTTTTGTGCTTTTTGTTGTTCAGCCATGTTCGGCTGTGGTGAGGTCATTGTACTTTTGCCCATATATCTTCCTCAAATTTCACCTATTATTTTTTGATAGTAGAAGTTATTTGGGGATAAAAAAGATATATGGGTAATTTTTGTGTTTTATTTGTATTTAGATTTTATTTGTTTCAACCCCCCTTTTGGGGGGCGAGAATGATATTTGTTGTATTACCTGGGGTATGCCCCTTGTAAATGTGTAATTTTTTGTCCTTAATTTATGGCTTACCCACCCAAAAAAACAAAAACAAAAAAACAAAGGCCACAAAAAAAACAAACCCCAAACACCAACCTAATTATGTGTTAATGCTTGAATTTTTATTATAGAGAATAATTTGGCAATTAAGGTGGAGTTTCATGAGGTTTAGAGAAGCTTAGGACCAACAAATAGGTGGAATAAAGCTAACAACACATTTGGTTCAGCATTTAGCTACCTCTTTTGAAGTGAAATTCCATGTGAAGTGTATTCTAGCATTTAGTTGCACGAAACAGCAACGGGAGAGGGAACGGGAGCAGGGCAACTTAGAAGAGTCGTAAGTTGGAAGCGCTTATATATTATTTTTATTTTTAATATTTTTAATTTATTTATATTAACTTTTTATATATATGTATGTATGTTATAAATGAGTTTAAAATTTTGTTTATATAATATTTAATTAAATACAACATAAAAAATATTTTTTAAAAAAAGAATAGCAAATAAACATTCATTTTAAACATCAAAAAAAAATAATTAGTTAGGTGGAATTTAAAAGTAATGGAAATATAAAATAATATGCAAGTATATATTATTTTTTTGAATTGGTCAACACAATATATTAAATTAGTTACTTACCCAAAAAAAATATATTAAATTAGTTTGGTGGAATATATATTTATTTGTGCAATGCACAACCAGCAAGACAGATATCATGACTCGAGGATTCAAATGGTTATTGAGTTATGATATCAACAAGATTATTCATCCTCATCAGGTATGTTGGAGACTCCGGGTATTACTAGGGAGTATGATGCATGGCTTGATGCTCAGATTTATAGATCTGAGTTTATGTTTGTACGTCATTCGACTGTTGCAGGCGCTCTTTCCTTGAGCGGATAAACCGATTACATCATGACTCGGAGTGTTCGATTACAACTTTTGGGGAATGCTTATCAACATTCCATGGCTCAGATGCAGGATACTATTTTTGTTTATATTGAGCGTATTGTTGTGTTCGAGTCTCGAGGACTTACGGGAGACTATTTTCTGGCTTAAGGAGAGGAGTGCTTTGACTTGATGAGTACCAACTTTATCAGCTCAAATCGATGATTTATGTTCTCGCTTAAAGCATATTTCCAGAGATTTGGCGACAGAGCGAACGACTGCCGAGGCATTGATACATAGGCATACTACTGAGCTAGAGTATCCAGTTATGGCATTTCGGCGTGACAAGTATACTAGCCTTAGAGGCCTAGAGCCTGAGGTTTCCTAGTATTGCCTTATTTTTGGCCATTATGCGGAGCAACAAGCTCAATTTGAGGGGTTTATTGACTTGGTTCCCAATCTACGTAGAGTGAGCTTGCCAGGAGGTAAGTTCAGGAGCTAGATGATTTTGCTGCTCGTGAGAGATATGAGGCCTTGACCCGTAGATTTTTACAGATGTGGAGAGTTCGAGGTGATCAATAGTTTTTTTGCATAATAGTTTTATATTCTAGTATTGTACGTGTGTCACATTGTTGTAATATAAATGCATGCTTCATTCTTATGAGTATGCCAGATTAAAACAGTTATATTTCCAATTTTTGAATCCGAAGATTGGTTGGTGAAGGGAACAAGTACTTTCCCAGGAGATGTCGAGTGAAAGGCACTCTGGTCAGGAAGGCTTTCAACACTCAAAGGGGCTACGGGGTGAGGTTACTGAACACTTCCAATATGAAAGTCAGTGACTGTCAAGTCCCTAGTCCCCCCCTAGAGGATAAGGGCATAACTGGCTAGTAATCGTAGATTACCTACGGCCTCTTAGACAAATCCAAAATATTTATTAAATATCGAGGCCTAAAGCGGAAGCAAAATCATTAACAAAACAAGTCCATTAAGCTATGCTTAAATGATAAACCAAAAACCTCCATAGAGCTCATCATAACTTAATAATATTTACAATAAGTGCAAACTTCATCTTATACACATACAAGTCCAAACATAAGACTTAACAAAAAAAAATTTGACAAAAGCTTGGTTCAACACAAATCCAAGCAAACGCCTCGACACGGAGACACTCCACGTGTTGGCTTCTCAAAAAGGTGGACTCCCAAGGCAAACTCTAAGCTTGATCTCCTAAATGCTCACCTACATACATATAGGGGAAGGGGGGGGAGCTAAAACCCAATGAGTAACATCAATATAAAGTTGTTAATGAATGAAGTCTAATCGCATTACAAAACATAACTTGTATTCTCAAAACGAATCATATATCGAATTCATAACAAAGCTTTTGCTTATAAACGAAATTCATTATCGAAGCGTGATAAGTGGTAACAGCCAATAGAGCAAAACAAAGGGGCCTTTCAAGCCAAAATCAAAGGGACCTTTCAGGTCTAACAAAGGGACCACTCGTGTCAAACATCAGAGATCTCTATACTTCAAACATTCAAAGGGCCATGGTATTATATCCCCCAGGCAAGGCCTCACTAAAGGATGCCACGAATATATCTACAAAAAGGATCTTCATTCATGGATACAAAATAAGATTTCATGACATCATTCTTGAAACAATTTCAAACATAACTTTATAGAGATATCACTCACAGTGGTCTCAAACGATTGCTATATCTCGGGTGTCCAACATACACAATGCACATAAACAAATTCACATTGAAATACACCTTTCAAACGAATACTTCTTATCTAATCCATTTCCTTATGTTGGTTACTAGCTTATTACTTTTGTAATGAGGCCTAAACAATGCCTAAGAATACTCGGAAGATGATGGAAACAAAAATATGCCCATGAGAGTGTTTTACAAAATATGCTGAAAACAAGTGATCGATCGAGTGATCCTTTCATTGCTCAAGCGATGAATGCAAGCTCCCAGTATTTGGTTTGCAAAACGACATTCCAAGTGATTCAAATGTAGGCTGGAGCAGTAACCTGATCGCTTGAGCAGTCTACAAAAATACTAGATGATCTCGAAGTGCGCTCGAGCAACTACTTCATCGCTCAAGCGGCCTGTGCAAATTCTGTTTTCCAAAACTGAATAATTGAGCTTCCAAACACAAATTCAATATTAGAGGGCTTGCAACGTTTACTCAAAAACATGATAACACTTGGAAAAACACAAGTTCATGATCAATTTTGAAACCATTAACTCGAAACGTCATCAATTAGCAAAATTGAAACCAAAACCTTCATGCATGCAAAATTTTTCAAAGCTTTTCTCCTTTGTTCATCAAACATGAAATATATGATATTAAACCATGACAATTCTGGAAAAATGCAAAGTTAAACTCGCATGCATGCTAGAAAGGCAAAATTCAAACCAACAATGATGAAATATAAGATATTCAAATTACATGCAAATTATTCTAATTACTCCATGAATTCAAGCCTTAGGTAGATTATCTACAAGAATTAAACTTGTAATTCTTACCTAGAGTCTTTAATTTGATGTATTCTTGCAAAATCTTGAACCACCTCCTTCAATTCTTCAAATTCTAGCTTCTCTCTCTCTAAAGTTGAGCTCTCTCTCCCCCTCTAAAACTTTCTCCAGCAATTACATAAGGATGAACTCAACTTCTCTTCTTCTAAGTTATATATTAATAGATTAGCTTAATACACTAATAGCTCATTATCTTAATTAATCAAACTTAAAGCTAATCAATCATAATTATGTCTAATTGGTTATTTATAATTATTATTAATATGAATCAAATTTTTAATTAAATTCCTATGTGATTCTATACATTAAACTAAACTGATTAAGCTAATCAATTATCGTTTTCTAAGTCATCTAAGCTCTCAATTTTTTATTCAAATATAATTCCTAACAATGTAACATTCAATTGAACACACTATGCAAACAAAATTCATAATCACATAATTAAATAAATGCAAAGTTGATATGCATGACATGGTTGTCACAGTGACAGAATGCTTCCTGTTCCGCCGTGCTCCTCCAAGTGACGAACCATCACTTTAGACTCGTAAGCTCCCAGGGATCATTTTTTTAGGACCTAGTGATTATGCTTGGACTAATATAACTTTTCGAAGGATCAGATTATCTTAACATTATTAATTGTGAACTTATAACTTCGGAAAGGTAATGAGCACCTTTCTTTGTTTTTTTTTTTTTTGCTACTTTTGCCTCTATTGCCCCTTTTTGGGGTTTTCGCCAGAAACAGCTTTATTGTGATGCCGCTTGGAAAGAAAAACCAAAGTGGCTAGATTGGTTAAAAAGACAAGCATTTTGTTTGAAATCTTAACTACATGTAATAGTGTTTTACAACATTGAAATTGAGCAAATCAAGAAATTCCTTTCCATCTATTTCAATCAATATAAGTGCTCCTCGAACTCTCCTCAACATCTGCAGAAATCTACGAGTCAAGGCCTTGTATCTCTCACGAGAAGCAAAATCTTGTAGCTCCTGAACCTTCCTGCTAGCAAGCTCACTCTTCGTGGTCCGGGCAACCAAGTCAATAAACCCCTCAAATCGAGCCTATCACTCCGCATATCAACCAAAAACACTATACAAGAAAACCTTCCGCTACAGGCCTCTAAGGCTAGATCCCTGCCACGCCGAAGTGCCACGACTAGATGCTCCATAGTAATACGCCCCCATAACGATGCCTCAGTAGTTGCTTGCTCTGTCACCAAATCTCCAGAAACACGCTCTAGGCAGGAACATAAATCATCAATCTGAGCTAATAAAGCAAATACTCGTCAAGTCAAAGCACTTCTCTCCTCGAGCAAGGAATCAATCTCTAACTCAAGTCCCCGAGACTCCAACACAGCAATACGTTCAACATAAACAAAAATAGTATACCGCATCTAAGCCATGGAACGGTGATAAGCATTCCTTGAAAGCTGTAATTGAACACATAAAGTCCTGACGTAATCGGTATATCCGTTCAAGGAAAGAGCACCTACAAAACTGAATGACATAAAAATATAAACTCAAATCTAGAAATCTGAGCATCAAGCCATGTATAATACTTCCTAGTAATAATCAGAGTCTCTAACATACTTGACGAAGATTAATAATCTCGTCGATATCATGCCTCAAAAGCCATCTAAATCCTCAAGTCATCACACTGAGGGCCAAACTCAAAACAAAATCAGTAGCCAGGAATAACCTGGTGGTGATCAAATTAGCGAAGAACTCGCCTACCAAAGTATGGAACCACTCCAGCAAAACCCACCAATGGAATGAAAGGCCAGTCCCTAGTCCTCACACTAACTAGGCCCAAAGGAAACAAGCCCAAGTAGCAACAAGACTATCAAGAATAACACTATCAAGGAGGAGTCAATCATCGATGCCTCTCAGCCATATGTGCTATAAGATCTATACGAAACCACATGTAATGACGAGGTCTACACGCAATAGGGTGGCTCACCAGCCAATGATGAAGTAACTCGACACAACTAGTAAATGGGGCATATGGATCAAAGTACACCATCAACAAGGCTATGTAAGTCTCAACCATCATTGGAGTTAGCGAGTGGCCGAGTCTCATCCTGCGCACAAATATCCCAACTCGGCCATCAAGTCAACCATTTACACGTGGTAATAATAATTCTACCACCAAAACAAAGCCAAGAATCTCGTTACTCCTCTCCCTCCAAGGAGCTAGCCCCCTCATGAAAATCACTAGCATAGACATCAGGTCTGGTTTCAGCAGCAAATCAATCCAAAAAATAATCCACATCAAATACTATCTCACCAACACCGATACAATGACAAAGGGCGTCCCTTCTAATCCCAAAAAGATTAGAAAGCCTACTAAAATACCCAGATGAGACCAAAGGATCTATAATATGCTCCAAAGAAGATCCCATCTGCAGAAGATCCTATCTGCAGAAGACCCTGGTACTGATCAGGCGTCAGAGTTAGCTCGCATCAGCCAAATCGAAAAACACTCACATCTGGATGCCAGTAAACCCCAACAGCACTAACAAAACCACAAGTAGTGGGCACTCGTAACAAAGAACCCCAGATAACCAAAAAATTGTCTAAAGCAACGAGACAATCTCCAACGAGCTTTTAACAAGTCCAACACTAGTCAAGCTTGAGTAGCTTGGTTCGCTTAACACCCCTACTGACGAGGTCCCATCAAGACAAGACAACATATGGTGATGGAAGAATAAAGGATAGTAAAGAAGTGGATATAATAATGGTTTGATAGATGTAGGAAGAAGGCAATCACGAGGATTAAATCAGAAAAATGGATCTAAATTGGGCTCTAATACCAACTAATGTCGAACGGCTATTAAGAGAACTGTTCAACTATGTAATTGATTGCAAAACCAAAAATTATGGAGAATTAATCTAAAAAAAAAAAAATCAAAAGTTTTGAGAAGAACAATAGAGAGAAGAAGAACGCAAGAGTCAAAACCTTAATCTCACAAAAATGGCCATAACCTTATACTCAATATCAATATTCCAAAGCTAACCTAAAACTATTGTATAAAGCAATATATATAGGCAAAATAGAAGAACCTAAATCAAGTTACCGAAAATAGAACACTAACCTGATAGAACTCTAAATTAAATTAAACCTCACAAATAAATAAAATTTAAAAATGTTTAATTTCTCTTTAATCCAACTCATTTTCGTTCCCCATAAAGAAGCTTTACAACTTTTTGAAATCTTGCACGTAGTGTTGCAATAAAAGAGTCAAGACACAAAGGTTAAAGGGTATGCATAGCATAGGAGGTCGTTTGGGTTTACAAGGTTAATTTTTATATATTTTTCACAAAAGTAAAAGTAAGATTCAATAAAGATCAACGAATAATAGAATCTCCTAAACAATTTGTTTAAAGGGTTAACTGGAGATGAGGTATTGCCATTGAAAGGTAAAACATAAGAAATGCTAAATTCTAATGTAATGAGGATAAAATTAAATAATAAAAAAGTAAAATTTCAAGTATTTATAAAAGGAAATGCACCTATAATAACAAAAAATAAATAAAAATAAGTCACTTTATGTTTTAAATTCACTTATCTAACTCTAGTCTTATCATTTCTACTTTCTCTAATAAAATTAAGGGTGTGTTTGGTTTGTGTTTGTAGAGTAATTTTTGAGATAAAAAGTACGAAAACTTGTTTGGTTTGCTTTTTTTCAGAAATGGTTTTAGAAAATTGTTTTGGGGAGAGAGTTTTAAAAAAAGTGATTGATTTGATGTGTATGAGAGAGAGAGTGATTTTGGAAAGTAGGTAACCAAACAAAATTTTGAGATTTTTTTTGGAAAAATTTGTTTGGTTTGATTACTCTTGAAAATTTGTTTATAGAGAATTTTTCCCAAAAAATTTTCTGAAAAACAAACCAAACAAGCCCTAAGTTTTTTGTTTGTTCTATAATCTTTTCTTTTAACAAAAGAGCCCCCCAAAAAATAAAAAATAGCTCTTACTAAATATTTCTAATGAGACAACTCATTGTTTTAGAATGTTTCAGTGTTTTGGTGAGATTTAGTACGTTTCATTATGGCTCAATGGAAATACTAGAATGTTGGTTTTCCACTAAAGTTTCATGTTGATTTTCTCGAAAATAAAAATATCTCAACCATTTCGATAGAAACTAAACGAAATTTTTTCCCTTGTCCACTGTCAATGTATCACCCTAGAGTTAAGTTTGGATGGCAAGAATCTCACGGGGGAATGGCAGGTTTCCATTATTCCACCATTTGGATTAGGCACGTAAAGAAATTATATATCTAATCCAAATTCAATCTGAATCTGATCCAAAAAATCAGAATTCTTTAATGAATATGCTATAATCCAATAAAATCCGAATCCAATTGATCCAATTATTGACAGATCAGAGTTAATATGATCCAACCCGGTCTGATTTTCATACTTTAATGTTATATGTACATATAGAACTATTATATTTCAAAAGTAATGGGCAACAATAACCAAAAAATTAAGAAAGTGAAATTCGAATAAGAGTATACAACATTCAGATTTGGATGATCTCTTATTGGAGTTGTCATAATCAAATCGGGTTCAGATTCAGATTGTTTTATAATCGAATTAGATTGGATCCGGTTCAAATATGATCCGTTGACAAGCTTGATTTCGATAATATTGGAATGGGAATATGATTCTTGACTTCTCAATCCATACATACTCAGTTTCCTAGACAAAGGAAGAATTTGATTCCCTCACTTGGAATGAGATTCCTATAAATGAGATATACCTATTCCTTGTCTTTGATTCATGTCATCCAAAGACAACCTAGTTGTTGCCTTTCCAATTTGTTTGAGCATTTTAGCACTCTATTTGTTGCTTTGCTTCATAATTGGGACAATTCCAAATCTCCATGGGAATTTATCTCTCAAGGTGTATCTTATTTCTCTCGATTTGTTTGTTTGTTTGTTTGTTTGTTTGTTTCGATTGGGTTTGGATTATCTCAAGTTGGCCATCTCAACTTGAGAGTGTTTCTGCTTGGTAGGCCCATTTAGGGGCCGATCTCAATGATCCGAACCATTCACTTTTTAGTACTTGTTGAATAGAATATTCATGCAAAAAATTACGATAATCAGACATCGGTAGCTATATGTTTGAATCACATTTGTATTAAAACAGATGAATGGCTGCTCCTGATATTATAATTGTTGTCCATTTTTTGAAACAAATATGATTCAAACATATTTCACTAAAGTCAGCCCCAAAATGGGCAAACCAAGCCCAAACACTCTCAAGTTGGATGGCCAACTTGAGAGAATCCAATCCCATTCATTTTGGAGAGGATGTATAGAGGGGTGAGAATTCATTTGATCATTTATTTCCCCAATTGTATAGTTTTTTCAGCCTCATAACATATCCATTACTTCTATGATCTCTTTTCATTCTTTCCCATTTCTTGAAACTTCAATTTTTTTTAAAAACTTGAATGATCGTAAAGTTGTTGAGCTCATTTCTTTGTTATCTATTCTTAACTACGAGAATAGTTGTTATAGGTAAAGATTTTGAACTGCTCATTCTTCTGAGATATTTTCTTGTAAATTTTTCTTGGGCAAATTACATATATCCCCTCGAGGTTTGGCTAAATTACAGATACCCCCTTGAGGTTTGAGAAATTACGAATTCCCCCCTGAATGCTATATTTGCATAAGAAATTAGGGGGTAATTTGTTATGAAATATAAACCTCAGGGGGCAAATTGTTATGAAAATACAAACTTCA